GGGGGAAGGAAAAGAATATCATCTTTTTGTCATATGAATGCAAATCTAAAGAGTTTGATTAAAAAAAAATCATCTTTTTGAAACAGCTAAACAGCCCTTTATGAGTTCCATAAGACTTTACCTGTATTTGCTGATACAAACATGTTATTTTCAGTAAGTTACTCACACAAGATTGTATGTAGGTCATGGATGATGGGGCAGGGAAGGGGAGGCAAGCTTTGGAAAGAAAGAGGTCTCGATTTTACTCTCAGCTCTCCCACCTGCTGTGTGACCCTAAGCATCCATTGTCTTCTCATCAGGAATAATTGTTTCTACCATTTAGGGGTGCTGTGTGCCAGCATTGCAGCAGGCCCAGAACAGAATAGGAACTCAATCTCAGCTATTCTCTTCTCTTCCCTACTCCTCAGGAGCAATGACTGCACTGGAGTCTTCTTGGTCAAAACAGCTCCCAGAATTCGGTAGTCACAGAACAGGTGTTTAATAATTATTTTTTTAATTGAGTGGAACACACATTCTTCCAGGAATCAGCTGAGTTTCAGAGAAAACCAAAAAAGTCATTTTTTAATAATAACCAAACAATGACATGTGGACATTTTATTCCACATCTAGAATCAGGCTGATTTTAAAGTAACCCTTCCCAAAGGTTTCTGATGAGTGGTCCTGGAGAAGAGAGTCCCACTATCAAATGTGCTTGAAAAAGTGGGTGTTCTGAACATGCAGTATCCCCCCACACTTGAAGAGTCACTGTGTCAAATAGCAAGTTAAAGGGCTCTACAAAAATGTGCCACAGGAAAAAACTTGTTTTGCTGTGTTTAAGCCATTGTTTCCCAGTAGTATTTGACCTTAGAACCCTTTGAAGACAAATTGAGGCATGCTATTTTCTTCAGGGAAATGCGGGAAGAGAGAGACAAGCATGTTTAATATATTTAGATTTTTAAAGTTACTACAAAATCTGCTTCAGAACTTTAGTCACTCAGGGAGTGAGAGCAATATTTAGATACGAATAAGAAACTTTGAATGAGGCTTAACAATAGAACACTCAACATAATGAATAAGTGGACCGAACTCTGCAGGAAATAGTGTTCCAAGATACTTCAGGGCTCTTTCTCCAAACAGGTATTATTTATTGTCTGGAGAAATTATAGTGATGAATGAGCTAGCATTGACCAGTAAGCAACAAATAAATAGTTTAAAATAACTTATTTTTAAAATCCAGTGTTTGTGACTGACTCTGAGCTATGATTCCTAAATGACAAGGTTAAGAGGAAAATAAACATTTGAGATTTAATGAGTCTCTATGTGGCAGATAAATTTTAATGTGCACATTTAGGTCTAAATACCTAAAATCCACCGACTTTATGTATTTGTTTTGTCTATTAAATGAGAGCTATGGTGCTAGTTTCCAGAAACAAAAAAGTGGGGAAAATATCCTTGTTTTTTTTTTTTTTGTTGAAGCTTAAAGTTTACATAAGAAAAAGATATAAATAGAGAGGGAGGGGAAAATAAAAGAAAATGTAAGTAGAAGGGGAAAAAAAGAAAAAAATATATATAATATCATAGAAATAAGTGTCAAATTGTGCCTACAATAAGTTCTACGAAATCAGAGAGCCATGTGCTCTGATTTCTACTTTAGATGATGGGATCAGGAACTGCACGCGCTTTGTTCACTGTTGTATTTCCAGCACTTGGCACAGACCCCAGCACAGAAAAGTAGCTCAATAGATATTTGTTGAGTTATTTGCATGAATGAATATATGAATGAAAGGATGAAAGTGTACAATAGGGGGATCTGACACAGAGTTCTCGAGAGGATTCCTAAATGAAGCAGATTTCTGAGGGATGCTTACTTTATTTTATTTATTTATCTTTTTGAGGCAGGGTGTCACTTGCCCAAGCTGGAGTGCAATGGCGCTATGGCAACTCATTAAGGCCTCGGCCTCCTAGGGGCTCAGGTGATCCTCCCACCTTAGCCTCTGGAGTAGCTGGGACTACAGGCGCACACCACCAAGCCTGGCTAATTTTTGTTTTTGTTTTTGTTTTTGTTTTTGAGACGGAGTTCCACTCTTGTTGCCCAGGCTGGAGTGCAATGGCACAATCTCGGCTCACCACAACCTCCATCTCCCAGGTTCAAGCAGTTCTCCTGCCTCATCCTCCTCAGTAGCTGGGACTACAGGCATGCACCACCACACCTGGCTAATCTTGTATTTTTAGTAGAGACGGGGTTTCTCCATGTTGTTTCAGCTGGTCTCCAACTCCTGATCTCCAGTGATCTGCCCGTCTCAGCCTCCCAAAGTGCTGGGATTACAGGCGTGAGTCACCGTGCCCTGCCTAATTTTTGTATTTTTTCTAGAGATGATGTTTCACCATGTTGCCTAGGCTGATCTCAAACTCCTGAGCTTGAGCGATCTGCCTGCCTCCAGCTCCCAAAGGGCTGGGATTACAGGCATGCTTATTGAGTCAAAAGAGAATTCCTGTGCAAGAGAGAAACACAGCCAACATAAGGAAAGGCAGGAAGGCCTGGGAGTGGCTGTGGTTGCCACAAAGAGAGATTGTAATCATCAGTGCAAAAAAGGATTGGGATTAAAGGTGGAGGTGTGGCCAAGGTCCTCTGAGATCACTACTTGAAGAGTCTGGTTTTTATCTTAAAGTTGAAGGGAAACCTCTGAATAAGCCAGAGGGAAAGGTAGCATAATCAGATTTGTGATTAAAATTATAATCCGGGTCGGGAAGAAGGAGAAAACGAAAATACAAGTGGACTACATGGGAAGCTACTACAATAGTGTGAGTGAAAGATGATGATGACTTGGAGAAATGTGGGCTGTGAAATCATAAACAGAAGGACGGAGAGATGAAGGACAGAGAGATATCAAGAACAGCTCTTGAATTTCTGGCTTGCATAATTGGACAGATGGTGTCCTACCACTGAGTTAGCAAATAATGTCAGGCATGGGTCATTCAGTGACTCACGAATTCAGTGAGACATAGCAAAAGAATTTTGGTGAATGACTAGGGCTCAGCAAAGAGAATCAGAAACAATCCATTTGTCATCATTCTTACTTGTTTCAGATATTATAAGTGAGCACCCATTTTGGCCAAGGTAATCATTGCTCCCTAAGGGCAATGATGAGTGTATGTTCCTGAATCAAAGGGAAAAAATAGGCCAACACAATGATAGGACATATGAGAAAATGTTTTGGGAGTCACCATACCCTCCAAGTGCAAAGACAAACTGTGACTCTTTCTGGAATATTCTGTGGTCTTAGCATTATTTATTTATTTATTTATTTATTTCCTTCTTTCTTTCTTTTTTTGTTGAGATGGAGTCTTGCTCTATCACCAGGCTGGCATGTAGTGGCACGATCTCGGCTCACTACAACCTCCATCTCCCAGGTTCAAGTGATTCTCCTGCCTCAGCCTCCCAAGTAGCTGGGATTACAATTTTTGTATTTTTAGTAGAGACGAGGTTTCACCATATTGGCCAGGATGGTCTCAATCTCTTGACCTCGTGATCCGCCCACCCAAGCCTCCTAAAGTGCTAGAATTACAGGCGTGAGCCACCACACCTGGCCAGCATCATTTTTAAAAAATCCATAGAGAGCTGGAAAATGACCATAGAAATGCAACTGAAACAATACATTTTTTTAGTGTTAAAGGAGGTTCCCTAAAAGTTCACTCAAAAAACTGAAAGCTGAGGAAAGAAGAGATAAAATCCAAACCACCAAAGGTTCAATTATAAATTGGACAGCGATGCTGCCCTGAAGTTTGGAGAGCTAAGGTCACAACAAATGAAAAGAGACACAGACTAGGCAGGAAGGGAGGCATTACAAGCTGGTGGGGTGGTTTAGAGAAGTGCTTCTCAAAGTTTAATATGTGTATGAATCACCCGGGGAAACTGTCGAAATGTACATTGTGGTTCAGTAGGTCCTGGCAACTGCTTGAAATTCTGCGTCTCTGACAAGCTACCAGGTGATGCTGAAGCTGAGCATAGAAAGGATTTAGTCTGCCTTGAGGAGGCAGGGAGCACTAAACCCTGGTTCCACCACTTACTATGTACCCTTGACCTAGACTGAGCCACTTAACCTCATTAGACCTCAATTTCCTCATCTCTAATAGACAGTAATACAGTAATAGAGTGCCTTCTTCACAGGGGTGTTGTGAAGACTAATGGAGATAATTATGGGCATATAGGATGCTAACTGCTAGTGTTATTAATATCATTGAAGCCATCATTCCAGGAGGTAGTCAAGACTGACAGCACTAAGTTGGAGGATTAGGTAACCTCACGGTGGATGGATCCATAAGTATTGTAGTTTTTAAGATACATTGGAATGATTGAGGCTGCAATATATTATTATGCTGTGTGATTACTGAGTTCAACCCATTAGGTAAACCATATATTTTATGTTCACCATGTTTCATGACGCCATTCAGCAGCTGCCTGCCTAAATGTCAATGCCAATACAGCTGAATTGTAGCAATTTCTGGACACAGAGGACTTAACCTGACACAGGCATCACCTCCATGTGAGAAAATATCATTGGAGGACTATCATCAAAGTGTGTTTAAACTCAAATAATTGTGTGCCTCTATCATAATAGGGCATTTTCCTTCCAATGAAATGATTTTTTGTCCAACAGTAGAAATATATAAATTACCCAGGTTAAAAAGCATGTGGAGACAAGAGGGTACACTCAGTTACTCTCACGGAACGTGCAGTAGATTTCAAGGGAGCCCTGACTGTGATGTACACTGTGCCCTACAGGTCTTTCTGAACCCAAGGGGAAAAATATGTCCTTCGAAAATAATGTAGTTATTGACGTCAGTAAGTCTGAAATAAAACAATTAAGTGCTTTCAAGTCATTTTGTTGCAAACAGTTATGCATTGAGAATCGGCTATATGTCTGACATAATCCTAGAAGCTGTGCAAAGGCAAAAAGTTTAAGAGTCAGTTCCTAGCCCCAAGAAATAGACAAGTGATTTGTTAGGCAATGCATGCATATATGAAACATGACAATGTTCGGGGCAGCATGAGATTGACTGCCAAAGTGTCTTGAGCAGGAAGTACCAAGCGAGGATGGAGATGAGAATAATCAGGGTTGGGTGGAGAATATCTGAGGAAACTGCACTTGATTTGGGCCTTGAAGAGTCATTGACTGGATTGGGCTACGTCTAGAAAAGTGGAAAGATCGTTTCCAGCAGAAGCAACAAGAGCAACAAGCTTGGAGGTAAGAAGGGACATGGCATAATTTTGTATCTGCAGAAAGTAATACAAAATTGAAAAATAATATTCATTTAGTCTATTAGGGCAGGATCATGGGGAGATTTTGACAATCAGTTGAGGAGACTGGAATAGGAATGTATTAGAAGACTACGTATGTAAATATTTGTATTTGTATATGTACATGAGTATTTATCGGCTGAGAAATATGATAATAGTAGCTCATATATATATATGTGTCTGCAGCAGGTAGCACCTAAATTTTATAAATATTAAAGAATTTTGGAATCAGAGTATGTGTTCACCTTACTCTTTTATTCAAAAACTCATATTTATCCAAACATAGTAGGATTCTTTTGGCTTGGAACTTTCAGAAGATGATGATAGGGTTTTACTAATAGTGATTCCATCCACACTCTCAAGAATTGTATGCAATTTATTTTTCTAGTTATAAACAACGATCTACAAGAGATCCTCAGTGTGTTCTACTAACTAAGCAACTAATCATAACACTTTATGTCTGTGGCTAAGAGCTATGGAAACAGGTCTGATCCTGTCTGGTGCTCTTCCAATGTGGGCATAATGATTGGCATACTATGATGCCTAGTAGGGCTGCGATGTCCATGTCTTGCTTCAGGGTCTTTATTTCTAAGTCTAGGTCACTGCTCCTGCCACTACTAGCTCAAAAGATCACATTCCTAGATTGAGTTTTTCATAAAGTTCAGCTTCCCTCCAATAACCCCCTCAAATGCTGACCATAGCTTTACTGTGTCTATATGTGCCTTCTCCCTAGCAGCTGCATTTCCTTTGGGAGAACAGTGGTCTTCTCTCTGCTGTGGCAAGCAAGTCACTTCTTCTTGCAGTGAGAACTGAAACCAGAACCATCATATGCCACTTCCTGGACACCTCCTATTAAATATTAAAGTCCCCTTCCTCTCGCCACAAAAACTGGAGTTTAGTGGTGAGAGGTACAGGTTCTTAGATTGTAACATCAGTTACAACCTACCAACTGCGTGCTCTTGTGCAATTTACATTTCCGTGTATCAGCTTTCCTTTTTCTTTAGAATGAGGTATTAATAGTAGCAACCCAGAATTGTCATGAAGCTTCACTAAGTTTTTATATATAAAGAGAATTAAAACAGTGTTTGGAACGTAACAATAACTCAATAAATGTTGGCCTATTATGATTATTGTTTAATCTCTTTGTGTATTAATATCATGTAGATTATATATGTATATCACTCACTAGCTAATTAAAAGTCTCCATTCAAAATTGATTCTAACATTTAGATTTTTATTATCATTTGACTACTTATTTGAATATTTCTATCTATATTTACTCATAATGCATTTATATGAAAGGCAGTAACAGCATGAAAGAGTACTACGTTACCATTGAGGCTTAACCTTTCTATGTGCGGGAAAAAAAAATCCTGCTAAGAATTAGGAAACTACAGAAGTCTTTTTTTTTTTTTTTTTTTTGAGACGGGGTTTCGCTCTTGTTACCCAGGCTGGAGTGCAATGGCACTATCTCGGCTCACCGCAACCTCCGCCTCCTGGGTTCAAGCAATTCTCCTGCCTCAGCCTCCCTAGTAGCTGGGACTACAGGCGTGCGCCACCATGCACAGCTAATTTTTGTATTTTCAGTAGAGACGGGGGTTTCACCATGTTGACCAGGATGGTCTCGATCTCTTGACCTTGTGATCCACCCGCCTTTGCCTCCCAAAGTGCTGGGATTACAGGCTTGAGCCACCGTGCCCGGCCTACTACAGAAGTCTTTTAGTACCCCACGCAATTGACAAACGTGAAGTGGAATAAAATCTGATATTCTTAACTACTTTAGTTGCTATGTTCTTACAAAACTTCTAATATAAAAGGTGTCCATCAGCTAGTTGAGAAATCTCTCAACCTGTATTCCAGGAAGAACTGAAACAATGTAAAGCCATGTAATTCTTATAGATGACCTTGTTATAAACACAGAACTTTTATATATGAAAAATTAAAGGGCAATACAAAATTGAGGATATTATGGGAGGTCAGGAAGGAGTGAGCTCAAATAGGCTTAAATTGTAGTGTGAAGGATGTGGCATAAATATCAGTAAACATTCATGAACAGTAAATACTATTCAAATGGGGTCATTACAATCTCCTTCCTCAAGAGCCCTCAGCAAATGTAGATTTACAAGTAATCCTGCTTTAGTTTGATAATTCAACGCATACCTTGGAGACAAAGGGAGTGGATTTGATTATTTTGTTAAGGATCCTTTGGTCCTCTGATGTTATAATCCTGAGAGAAACCTCCTCGTATTCCTCAATCTCATGTTTCTCAACTAAAAACAAGAGAATGGTATGCTAAGCTGCATCTACAGGTCTGAGAGCTCCGTGCTATTCAGTGCACTTACTACTACTAAGGGAAGTTGGCGACTTGAAGGAAAAGGAGGAACTCTGAAATTTAATTTTTAGTGTTTTTATTAATTTTAAACTTAATTTAAATGTTTAGGAATTAAACCTTTTCTAGCATTTTTGATTTTAGAAACATTTACTTGTGACCAAAAGCATTCCACAATTTTTAAAAAACATGTTATCCCATTTCAGTAAAGTTATTCTTGAAGAAGAATGTTGACTAAGGAAACAAAAACACAAGTTATAAGACTGAATCAGGCATTTATTTTAAAAGTATTAGTCACCTCTTCAGAAAAATATATAACAGTAGGCACTTCTCCCCATCCCCAACCCCATGATCCAACCTAACTTGTAAGATCTCCATAAGAAATGTGTTACTATTGATCTCATGAATAGCCCAGCTCAGATTTCTAGTTATGATATACACAAACTTGGAAAATTATTAAACGAATACCTTATACATCTTTTCTACTGTTATTTTACAGAGAAAAAATTTCTCCCCATTGTATTCATTTGACAATTATTTACTGAGCACATAAAATATGTCAGGTGTTGTGTCAGACATGACCCGGACAAAGATAAAAAATACATAAACAAGAAACTGTGCAATGATGATGTATGCTGCGATGTAAATAGAATGACGGGATAAGATGGGTTTGAGCAAGAAGGGCTACTAAGTTGGGTAATATTACCATCCTCAGCCTCATTCCATTCTCTCCTATGTCCTGCTCTGCTCTGTACTGTGGTGGGACTGACCCACACAGGCATTTCACTATCTCCTGTGCTAGCTGATTTATGGAGTTGCGTGCCTGTAGTCCCATCTACTCAGAAGGCTGAGGTGAGAAGATCGCTTGAGTCCAGGAGTTCTGAGCTGTAGTGTGCTATGCTGATTGGGTGTCTGCACTAAGTTCCGCATCAATATGGTGACCTCCTGGGAGCAGGGGACCACCAGGTTGCCTAAACAGGGGTGAAACAGCCCAGGTTGGAAACTGAGCAGGTCAATAGTAGGATACCACTTGTGAACAGCCACTGCATTCCAGCCTGGCCAACATCGCAAGACCCTGTCTCTAAAAAAAAAAAGAAAGAAAGAAAGAAAGAAAGAAAAAGAAAAAAAAGGAACCATTGTTGTGAGATTGGAGTACTGGTGGAAGGGAAAAGCTAAAGTATTTCTGCTCTGTTTATCTGCCTTAGATGGCATCTTCGGCAGCACTACCTCCCCTCCCTGGCTCTTACCACTTATTTGAGGTAGTTCCAGTTTCTGCTGTGGTCCCTGAGGTCCAGTAAACTCACTTCCACTTTTTGTCCCTCTGGCCTAAGATTAGTAGTGACTTTCTACTTTTATTAATCTCTGGGTTGTTTTACTATCTCCTGTTTGGCTTCTTAGCTCTTCCACCACATGCTAAACCAATACTACGTATTATATTTTCTGTGTTTTATATACTTAGGCAGGATTGCATTTTCCTGGGTGGACTCTGACTGAGACAAGGAATCAAGAAAGGCTTAGCTGCCGGGCACGGTGGCTCAAGCCTGTAATCCCAGCACTTTGGGAGGCCGAGGCGGGTGGATCACGAGGTCGAGAGATCGAGACCATCCTGGTCAACATGGTGAAACCCCCGTCTCTATTAAAAATACAAAAAAATTAGCTGGGCATGGTGGCACGTGCCTGTAATCCCAGCTACTCAGGAGGCTGAGGCAGGAGAATTGCTTGAACCCAGGAGGCGGAGGTTGCGGTAAGCCGAGATCACGCCATTGCACTCCAGCCTGGGTAACAAGAGCGAAACTCCGTCTCGAAAAGAAAAAAAAGAAAGGCTTAGCTGAGGAAGTGATATTTCAGATAAGAACTAGAGAATTAAAAGAATCCAGGCATGTGATGCTCAAGAAGGAGGACAGTCCCAGCTGATGAAAGTGCAAGTCCATAAAGGAAGAATATACTTGGCCTCTTCAAAGAGCATAAGGCAAGCCAGTATGGCTGTAAAACCATACGAAAAGGGGACAATAGAACTAAAACCTGAGCGGTAGACGGGTGCCGGATCACATGGGCTTCTATTCCAAGTATGAGGGAAATGGACATACTCTGATTTAGATTTTTTTTAAACAATTAATCTGGCTTCTTTCTGGATAATGGGTTAAATGTTAGAAGAGAAGATAGTTCAGGGTAATAACAAAGAGATGGAGAGAAGTGGACTGATTCACAAAGAACTTTGTAGATCCAGTTTATTCAGTGCTGTCAATATCAAGAATGAGAGAATGAGAAGAACCAAGGATGACTCCTCAATTTTTATCTGAACAACCGAAAGGATGATGACATCGACTGAGAGGAAAGAATGAAGGGGCAGCAGGTCGATGGGAAAAAAAGAGCTCTGTTTTGGACCTGTCGGGTTGAGACGCCTCTCAGACCTCCTGGTAGAGATATATAAGAGGTAGTGTGCATATGAGTCTGGAGTTCAGAGGAGAAGTTAGAGCTAGAGATATAAATTTAGGAATTGCTGGCATATTAAGCGGGTTTTAAACTTGTGGTTTAGATAGCATTGCCTACAAAGAGTCACACTGGAAACAATTCATTATAAGTCATCAGTTATTGTCCCAAACAAAGGGTTTTGAAGAGGAAAAACCCATTAGACATACCACATGAAAAAAAATAGACTTTGAAAAGAACAAGTAGAAACATTGTGGTGTAGAAACTTTGTGGGATGTGTGTGTGTGTGTGTATGCGTGTGTGCATGTGTGTGTGTATGGGTGCGCGCATGTGTGTGTTTGCTGAAAAATAGTCTGAGAACCCAAAGGCTAATGCTACACAATTTATTTCATTAATGTAGACAGCTTTTCAAATCATTGACGATGCATGACAGATTGAATGGTTTTTTTTGCCATTTATGTGGTCTGAGTGAAACAGATGCTAATTAGAAACTCTTTTCCTCAGGAGACATACATGTTCCCAGGAAATCAGTCATATTTTACACACTGTCTGAAATGAATGTACAAATATCAATTGACCCTGAATATTACAAAGTTTTAACAACTCATCTTCCATTTGCTATGTCCCTACCAAAGCAAGAATTGATCATTACTCTGTAATAACCTCTCAGGTATTCTGAGTCCAGACACTGAGAAATCTCCAGCCTCTTACTGTCTTTCACATTTCACGTCCAGAAGGGTGGCCGAGCATGATATTGACTTTACGTAGCTCATGTTCTCCTGCAGTTCTGCTGCCGTGGTTCTGCTTGGATGGTGCTCAGCTTCTGTCATCTGGACCACCTTCTTCCTTCTGGGCAAGCCTTTCTTCAATACCGTCCCCTTCAAGTCCGCCCTCAGTGTCATGCCCAAAGCATCTTGCTCTATTATCCAGAAACCTCTAAAATGGCTTTCTAATTAAAGCCTAATTTTATTTTCTGTATCTCTCATCCTCCAGGAGAGCATCTGGTACTGCCTTACTCTAAATATCAACCTCCTGCACACCTCCAAAACATCATGAGCTGTTTGTGTGTGTGAGTAGGATTCCATAGAATTCAGCATAAAGTGTGTTCACCATGCTTTGTTCAAACCATGTTTTTAAACATTCAGTGAATAAAAGGTTTAAACCCCAAATAAAGATTAAGGTTTATCTTAAGGATTTAGAGTTAGAAAAAAGGCTTTAATGCAAATCAAGTATTGATCAAATATAGGGAGAGGGAAAGTAAACTTAATGAGTTAATTTGTGTTTATTAGCTGCTTTCTCCTAATTGTTAAAAAAAAAAAAAAAAGTAAATGGGGGAGGTATGACTTCAGCAAAATAGAGAAGGGA